TAAAGTGTAGAAGGGAACCTTCCCCACCTCCACACCCAACCAACCTAGAATTCTGTACCCTATGAAATTGATCTTTAAAAGTGAAGGAGAGGGGTGTTTGACTGGCTCAGTTGGAAGAGCATGCAACTTGTGATCTAGGGGTTGTGAGTTCGAGCCCCACGTTGGGTTGTTGGGTGTAGAGATTACTTACATAAATAAACTTAAAAAAAGTAACAAAGGGGAGGGAGAAATAAGGACTTTCTCTGATAAACAAAAACCGAGGGATTTTTTTCTCCCCCGTTGGTAAATCTGCTATGCAAGAGATGTTAAAATAAGTTCTTCAGAGAAAAGAAAAGGATATAGGTCAGAAACACAGCTCTACATAAAGAAAGGAATAGCATTGGAGAAGGGATAAGTGAAGACATCAGTCACCTAAATACTGAAGAAAATGATTTCTGAATCACTGAAAACTTATAGCTTGACCATTCTATGAAAAGCCAAGCAGGCTGAGACCGGGACTTCACATGAAATCACATCCATGCTCGACTTCTTCCCTTTCCCTGTCCTTCCCCCTTTCACTTAATGGTGTGTCCTGGGAGTCTCTCCTTAGATCTTTTGTATCTGAAAAAATAAAAAGTAAGTTATACACCAATATTGAAATCTACCCAAAGTTTTCCTTATATCATTTGACATAATTATATTGTTTCAACTTTAACCTGTTAAAGTGGAAAATTACATATATGGTTTTTAAAAACAGAGACCAATTAAAATACGGAGATAAACTCTACCAGGTCAGGATTGGGTTTGTTTTGTTTTTTTTTAAGATTTTATTTAGTGATCCGAAGGGGCACCTGCACCCCAATGTTTATAGCAGCAATGTCCACAATAGCCAAACTATGGAAAGAGCCTAGATGTCCATCAACAGTTGAATGGATAAAGAAGATGTGGTATATATACAACGGAATATTATGCAGCCATCAACAACTGAAATCTTGCCATTTGCAACAACGTGGATGGAACTAGAGGGTATTATGCTAAGCGAAATAAGTCAATCAGAGAAAGACAATTATCATATGATCTCACTGATATGAGGAATTTGAGAAATAAGACAGAGGATCATAGGGGAAGGGAAGGAAAAATGAAATAAGCTGAAACCAGAGAGGGAGACAAACAATAAGGGACTCTTAATCTCAGGAAGCAAACTGAGGGTTGCTAGAGTGGAGGGGGGTGGGAGGGATAGGGTGGCTGGGTGATGGACACTGGGGAGGGTATGTGCTATGGTGAGCTCTGTGAACTGTATAAGGCTGGTGAATCACAGACCTGTACCCCTGAAACAAATAATACATTATATGTTAATAAAAAAAATAAATCAGGTAATTGAGTACCTATCCTCAAGATAGCACCATGACTGGCTGCAAAAAAAAAAAAAAAAAGATTTTATTTATTTATTTGACAGTGAGAGACACAGCGAGAGAGGGAACACAAGCTGGGGGAGTGGGAGAGGGAGAAGCAGGCTTCCCAGGACCCTGAGATCATGACCTGAGCCAAAAGCAGACACTTAAAGACTGAGCCACCCAGGCGCCCCCATGGTTGGGGTTTTTTTGTTGGTTTAAACACACTGTCAGATTTGATTAGCCAATATTTATTTAGGAATCTACCTCTATGTTCTTAAGGGAGATTGGCCTCAAATTTTATTTCTTGGGCAGAATTTGCCTTGCTTCCATTTTGAGACTTTAATAACCTTTAACTATGTATCTTGTTGTGTTGTATATGGTCAAATTTTGTAATGATCCATGGATATTTGGTAAGTATTTATATCTTTATTATGTGCAGAATTTGCTATTTCTTATATATTGAAGACTATTAATGAAATTATTCAAGTATATATTTACATTTATATTGTTTTGAATATCATCTCTTTTCCATTTTTCCTATAAGGACTTTCTAATAGTATCTCCTAACACTTGTATTAGATAAAATTTGAATCTTCTGGATGGGGATTTTGAGTCTCTATCTTCCTTGTCTTACTTTGCATCTTTTAATTGTATGTTTGTCCTATATTCTGGGGAAGAAAAAATATTTGGATTTTTCCTCCAGCTTACTAATTTGCTCCTTTTTTGTGCCCTATCTGCTATTCTACTCGTCTATTGAATGATTCATTCCAAAGGCGAAGCCTTTAATTTACATGACTACTAGTTGATTCTTTTTAAAGAATTGCTGTTTAAAATACTCTCTTGCATCTTTCGGTACAGAGTATTAATTAAGCTTTGAATAAAATCACTAGTTCTTATAATGACCTAGAATGTCCTAGATGATCAGACTCTTGTGGATCTCTGAACTCTCCCCACCTTGCCCATTCTGCTCCAGACATTTTGGTCTCCTTGCTGTTGTCAGCATTTCAAACCCTCCCAATACCTATACCTGTTTCTCCTCCCTGCTCGCCCCCTTCTCCCCTGGATGTAATAAGGCTTGCTCGCACTCGTTATTCAGATCTGTGCTCAAAGGTTACCTCTTCATCAGGGAGATATTCCCTGACTACATTTGCCAAAACAGCATGCAATGCCCTCACACACACATTTGCTTTCTCTCTCCCCCACCCTTTACTTACTCTGCTTTTGCTCTTTGATATTTTATTTGGCTTCTTTTTTCTCCATCAGCAAATGGGAATGTCCCTGATGGTAGCGACCTTGCCTGCTGTAATGTTTACCGTAGTATTTCCAGAAGTTAAAAAAGTGCCCGGGACATATTGGAGCGACCAAATGTATGTATTAAATGAAGCGATGATGGTGTTTCTAGTGCTGCGTGCTCTATTAACTCTTTCTTGTGTGTGCATTCTTCCATGCTCTGTATCTGTCTTCTGTGATGCTGGCTTCGCTCAACGGATAGATGGGCCTGTGTGTATCTTATGTTTGTGACGCCCTATTAGGCCACCGTGGGAAAGGTCTATCAGTTTACTCCAGGCTACTGGATTAGTCCTCCAGGAGGATCACTTCAGGAATCCTGGCAGTGGACTGGCAGACCCCTCCAGTCACTTTGGGAGGGGGGGTGGGGTTGTGGCAGATGAGACTCCTGATTCCGTGTACCTGTAGCCAGTCTCTGAGATGGGCACTGCTCACTCGTCCTGACTGTGACCATTACTCTAAGGTCCTAGTCCTGCCTTTTCAATAGAGGCCCCTACATGCATTGTTGCGGGCTGAAGGCGGGCGCCACTCTTGCTTGTTGCTCTACACACAGAGAAGCAAGGAGTGCTTGACCTACTCGGCTACTCCCACTGGAGCCACCCTGTTATCTTGCTGTCACTGCCCCAGGGCTCCCTCCTACTTCAGATTTCTTTCATCCGCGTGCAAGGAGCAGCATCCTTTTCTTAAAATTATTTGAAACAGTTTCAGCCTCACAGGCTGTTGCAAAAGAATACAAAGAATCCCTGTATTCCCTGCACTCAGTACAATGTGTGTAGTATATTGTCAGAGCCAAGCAACTCATGTTGCTACAATACTATGAACTCGGGTACGGACCTCATTCAGATTTTACCAGTTTTTGCAGGCACTCCTTTAAGGAAAAAAGAAAAGCTTTATTGAGATATGATTCATATACCATATGCCATACAATTCATTTACCGCAAATTTTGCCCATTTAAAGTTTTCAATTCAATGATTTTTACCATATTCAGAGAGTTGTGCAGCCATCAACAGAATCTAATTTTAGGACATTTCATTACTTCCAAAAAGGGAAACCGTATCCATTAGCAGTCACTCTTGTTTCTCCTCCCTCTGGTCCTAGGCAATCACTAATTTACCTTCTGTCTGTATAGATTTGCCTAATGTTTTCTTCCATGTTATAGCATGTATCAGTACTTCATTCCTTTTTATTGCCAAATAACATTCCATTGTATTCATATACCACATTTTGTGTATCCATTCATCAGTTGATGGCTATTTGGGTTGTTTCCACTTTTTGGCTACTATGAAAGCTGCTGCTATATACTGGATATTTGGGGAGGGGGTTAGTTCTATGAAATTTCATCACATAGATTCAATAACTATCATCACAATCAGAATACAGAACTGTTTCATCATCACAAATAAAGTCTCTCATGTTATCCCTTAATGATCACATATTTTCTGCAACCCTAATCCCTGGCTATCACTGATCCGTTTTCCATCACTAGAGTTTGTCACTTTGAGAATGTTATGCAAATGGAGTCATACGGGATTTAACCCCTTGAGATGGACTGTTTTTCTCCACTCAGAATAATGCTCTTGCATGCGTCAAGTTGTATTTTGTTTCTATTTATTGCTGAGAATTATTCCATAGTATGGATGTACCACGGCTTATTTATTCATCCATTGAAGGACATATGGATTATTTCCAGCTTGGCACTATTACCAATAAACCTTCAATGAATATTACTTTATAGATTTTTGTGTGAACACAGGTTTTCATTTCTTTAAGATAGATGTCCAGGAGTGCAATTGCTGGATCATGTGATAATTACATGTTTAGGTTTTTGAGAAACTTTCAAACTGTTTCCTAGAGTAGCTGTACCATTTGACATTTCCATTAGCAATTCATGAGAGATCCAGTCTCTCTGCATCCTCTCCAGTGTTTGCTATTGTCAGTAATTTTTATTTTAGCTATTCTGATAGGTGTGTAGATGGTCATGGTTTTAATTTGCATTTCTGTAATGACTATTTGTATTCGTTTCTTATCACTGCCGTAACAAATCACCATGATTGTAGCATCTTAGAGCAACAAAAGATTTATTGTTTTATAGTTCTGTATGTCAGAGGCCTGGGTTGAAATCATGGTGTAGGCAGGGCTTCATTCCTTTCTGGAAGGTCTAGGGGAGAGTCTTTTTCCTTCGAGAGGCCACCAGCATTCCTTGGCTTGTGGCTCTCCTTTCATCTTCAAAGCCAGCAACTTGGCATTTCTCTTTTCCTTTCTCTGTTGTTGCATATCTGTGACTGTAACCAGGGAAGGTTCTCACTGTTTTATGGTTCATATGGTTAGACTGAGATAACCTGGGTAACCCAGGATAATCTCCCCATCTCAAGGTCTTTAACCTTAATCACATCGGTAGGGTCCCTATGGCCAAGTAAGATAATGCATTCACAGGTTCCAGGGATTAGGAGGTGGTTAGAGGTCCTAAACATTTTCCTCTAAGCACTGCTTTAGCCACATAGCACAGAGACTTTTAAGTGAAATTTTTATTGAAATAATTGTAGGTTCACATGCAGTGGTAAGAAGCCATACAGAGAGCGCCCTCGCACACATTGCCCAGTTACCCTCAATGATAACATTTTGAAAATTATAGTAGAATATCACCACCAAGATAGTGACATTGAGAAAATCCATTGATTTTATTCAGATTTTCCCAGTTTTACTTGTACTCATTTGGGTGGGTGTGTAAGAACTACACAATTTTATCACCTCTATGTGTTCATGTGTCCACCACCACAGTCAAGTTGAAGAGTTCCAACACACTGCTGCTAGGTTCCTTCATGTTGTCCTTTTATATCAATACCTCCCTTCTGTCACCCTTCCCTTCCCTAACCTGCTGGTTTTCCTTCTTTTTCTAAAATCGTCATTGCAAAATTGGTATAAAAGTGGAATCATACCATATGTATGATTTCTAATTAGTAATCAGCTAGTTTTTGAATCATTAGTCCCCTGTAGGTAATATATTGTTGTTGTTTTTTTTTCCTCTAACTGTTTTTAAAAGTTTTTCTCTTATCTTCAGTTTTCAGAATTTGGACTATGATATATTTAGGTATGGATTTTTTTGGGTTTATTTTGTTTGTGGTCCACTCAGCTTTTTGAATCTGTAGGTTTATATCTTTCATCAAGCTTGGGAAGTGTTTAGCCATTATTTCTCTAAATATTTTTTTCAGCCCTGTATTCTTTTTGCTTTCCTCCTGGGACTTTGATGGCATGAATGTTAGATTTCTTGTTATTATCCCATAGGTCCCTAGGGCTCAATTTATTTTAAAAAATTCTTTTCTTTCTCTTTCTTTCTTTCTTTCTTTCTTTCTTTCTTTTCTTCTTCTTCTTCTTCTTCTTCTTCTTTTTTTGTTTGAATAATTTTTGTTGACTTATCTTAAATTTCACTAATGCTTTCCTTAAGACTCTGCAGGGAAGAGCACTACCTGTTGCTGAAAAGGGCATGTGGAAGTCAGAGTTCTGCCCACAGGTTCTTTGCGGAGAGGCACCTCCTCCTTATTACAGAGGGAAGGGCAAAAAACAGAGCTCTGCCCACTGGTTCTGGACTGTAGTGTCCACTATGGTGGGAGAAGCATGTAGTGTTTTTCCTGGTGTTTACCTCAGGAACAGGGATGTATGGTTAAAGTGTTCCTGTCTTGTTGGACCACACTTTTCCTGATCCTCTGGCTAGAGAAAGCAGACTTTTCTTGGTGCTCTTTTCTGTCTGTGACTCTTGGTGTTTCTAGATTATGGGCTTGTCTAGCATTCAGGCTGTGGATATTTATGAGGCAAGAAAAAACTCAGGGAACTTACTGTCAGGTTGTTCCTCAAGTCCCAAGGTCCCTAGCCATTCTACCTTATTTTCTCCACCTTCCAGATTTTTCTGTGTCTTTCATTAGTTTTCTAAGATTTTTTTACTGTGACTAGTGGAGAGACTAAAATGAAATGTGTTTCTTCCATTTTGTCTGGAACCACCAGGCTCCAGAGCAACACTTTTTTTAGTAGCTTGTGTAGTAGCTTATTTATGTTTTAGTAGTTTTTATCCTCATATTTAATTCTATATGTTCTATTAAAATCGTTCTAGGGTTCCTCTAAGGTTACCCATTCATGTTTTCCTCTGTGGTAGTAGATTTTTAGATCACACATCTTTTCTGTTATTTCTAGATATTCACTGTGGAAGATAGAGGTTTGCACATGGGATCAACCTGTCATCTAGAACCAGAGTATAAAGAACATTTATTTCTGTGAATTTATGTTATTTGTCATTTAACAGATCATGTTTATTGAGAATAACAAAATCCTATGCAAAGAAATACAAACCTCAGCAAAAAATCATATGCATCAATTAATAAAGCATTTGAATATTTAAAATTGGGATTATGCTGGTTTACATATATAAATAAATAGCACAGAGACAACTGAGCTACTGCACTGAGCTACTTCTGAGAAATCAGACAGCTATTGATTGGGGATCATTGCTACAGTTGATTCTATGGCAACAGTTGAAATAAAAGGCAAATAAAAGGGGGAAAGAGACAGAATTTAGGTGGGAATCCCAAGGGAAACCCAGAGAAAAGTGAAAGGAGGGTCTCAGGGTGACTTCTAAGAAGATTTGTCAGAGGTTTAAGAGGAAGATTAGAAGATCAGTGAGGTCTATAAAACTACTTATAGGAAAAAAAAATAGCACCATTTGAAAAGCAACCATAGATTGATATAAGTTGTGTTTAACTCAATCATCCATTATAATAATTACTGTTACTTACTATTTTATCACTGAAATTAACATGGACAGTTTGAGAAACAAAAGTAAGTGATGACAGTTGTGGGCATGTAAGGGTTTTAATTAAAGTGGAAAGATGTCCTGTTGCATTAGAAAGCTTAAACAAATAATTTTATCTGATGAGTATGCATTTAAGACAGATAAAAACTTTGCAACTTAGTAAAAAGAAATCATTGACAGGCTTTTAACATATTTGTAAGAATGTTTTATTTACTTACTTCTTCCATAACAGTTCAATCCTTCACTGTACAGTTGAGAGTAAGAATTTAGAGGTTGTCTGTTAAATCTTTTGGAGTAAATTGAAAACTAACACAAAGCCTATACCAGCAAATGAAGTTTAATTGCTTCAAAAATTCTGGACTATGTTATTTGAACATAAATACATTTATATAATTTTTAAGTAATTACAATAACATTAGTAATGAATAATAAAGCATTACTAGAGATTCTGTTAGACTTAGATTAATAAATGAATTAAAATTATAATTAGCAGCTTGTGAGCAAATGGTGCTTGAAAGCAACAAATGCAAAGTGCTTCAAAACAATGCCTTAAATATCTCCCATATTTTGTAATTATTAATTAGCAAACTACTCTTTTACAGATTGGATCAAGGAAAGCTTCAATGCAGCTAATGAAATTATCATAAATTTGAAATTAGTCTGGCCTGAATGATATTCTGCTCTAAAGCTAAAAGCTTGATTTACATTTTAAAATTTAAATGCTTTTCATTTCCTTTCTCTGAAACCTTTCCTCAAGTCTGACTATTTTTTTAATAGTCAACCTTTCTCTCCATGAGACACATCAATAGAAAATTGAATGAAATCAGGATTCTTTTCAAGTCTTTGAGAATTCATTTAAATGACTGGTACAGGAGTTCTATGCACCAGCTTTGAAGACATTTTATGTTAGCAATCTTGACTTATAATGATCTCAATTTATACAAACTGGGGAAAGGCAAGAAGTTTTATGGTTTGTCAATGATATGTTATTTTTCTCAATATTAAATTCTAAATCACATCTTAAAGGACATCTAACAAAATCTTTAGTCCACTTGATGGTTGGATGCATGTTGCCTTTAGGAATGCTGCTATATTCCATGTTTTCTGTTACAGTAGAAAATTAAATGACACCTTAGGAGAATCAGGAAAGAGATTAATACTTATATGTCAATTGTATCTCAATAAAGCTGGGGGGAGAAAGTTAATATGAGGTGGGAAAATATTTGAAAATACACAACTTTATTCTTTTCTATTCCATTTCAAATATGATTTCATGCCTAATATTCCAACACACAGAACCATTATTATTAGAGCCATATTTTATTCTGGGCATACACAGGTCACAGCAAGGTACAGCTGGTGGGGCGGGCACTGTTTACAATGAATACAATATCAATGGTGCCCCTGGAGGCCCTGGCCTAAGTGCTTGCTCCTGTCCTAGATACTGAGATGTCAAGTATCAATGTGATGCTAGCAGTCTAGTTAGGGAAAACAGATACACGAAAATACAATTTTTATGGAATCTAAAACACAGCAGTGAAATCAGTTCAAAATACTCTGGTAGTGCCAAAGAAGAATTTACAAGCTTAAAGGAGTCACAGAAGACCTCTAAGACCCACAGCCTTGTCTGCTTATAAACAAACAAATATCAACTGAGGGCAAGTCTTCACAATTAGAATAGTGCAGCTTAATTATAATAATGGGCTGCCGTTTATTGAACTCTTACCATGTACTAGGCTCTAGGCCAAGTAATTAATGTGCCCAGCTTTTTATGTAATTTACACAACAATCTCATATCATAGGTATTTTTACCATCCCCATCTTTCTGATAAGGAATCTCAAGTCTTGAGAGGCAAAACAGGCAGTGAGGGCCGCACCAGGCTGCTGGGTCTATCAGGTGATGGCATGCAGCAGGGACCTTTTTTCACATGCCATAGTATGAACAGTGACTGATCTCTGGATAGGGATTTGCGTTGAGTATATTATGACTAGGTTCAGGGTTGTGGATTACTAAAGGATTATTTTTTAGGAGACCTAGAAAGATAGGAGAAATAAAATCTAGTCTTGAGGATAGCATCTTAGTGCAATGGCTTTTATGGCAACAGTGTAACTTAACTGCTACCCCATGTTTGTGGATTCAAATCCTGCCTCTATCCATATAGCTGTGTGACCCTCAGAAAGTTATTTAACCTTCCAACCCTTGCTTCTCTTCATGAAAAATACATGAATTATTCTTTGTTAAGACTCAATGGTAAGTGATTAATAAATGTTAAAATTCTTACTATGGACCTCAGAGGGTGGGGTAGGATGGATTAGGGGGCAAGGGTCACAAACCCTTGGATATACTGTTTAAAATGGTGTGTGGGAACATCCAACGATACAGAGGATGAGAACTTTACACACAAGGGTGCAAAAATATCACATTATTTAATAAACTTTAAATCAAATTAAACTTGACCTCAAGCCCCCATTCTGCCTTGGACTCCAGGAAAGCCAAGCTCAGTCATTACTGATACTCAGCCAGCCCCATCCTTGGGCAGTATACAAAGGCTCCTGAACTTTTCAGGAGGCCTCCCATGAATGGATTGGCAGGTTGTGCTCTGTACAACCTCAGGGGCACCATTCATATCTCAAGAGGCTTGACCACATTCTTGGAACAGGAGGGAGGGAAAAATAGAGCATGAAACAACCCACCAATTAACATTTCAATAAATTATCCAGCCACATGCATTTTTTTTTTTTTTTGAGGAGAGAGTCCATACCTTTCATTAGATTCTCAAAGCAAAGAAGGAGTCTGATTTGATCCAGCAAAAGAGATGGGTGTCAAACCTCTGTGCTCCACAAAGCAGGAAAACATCACATTTGCATTGATTATAGACCCTTTTCATAGTGCTGACACATCTATGAGCTTTGAGTGGCCTCATTATTTTTTTATTAAATTGGGTCAGGGTGGGGCCCCCCATTCAACCTAAATGCAGATGGGGTCATTGTGACTGAACAGCAAATACACAATAGGTAATAAATTCTGGGAAATGAAATCTGTCATCGGACCACTCTTTCACACACAAAAAACGAGATGCGGTATAACATCGGGACTTGAGGCAAAAAAAAGTCTCAAAGATAAAGACGCAGAATTGCATTCACTGAGTTATAAAGCATTTTGGGGGCCTCTTCTTTGGATAGAACAGGAAAGGGCCAGTATTGATTCAGAAAAAGTATGTAAAACTACTGAAGAGAAAAACCACGTATGTAATGGAGGAAGCTTGCAGAATACACAATGGTTTTGCAAACAAATACAGACACCTGAATGGTAGCATCATTATCAGCCTCATCTTCAAATACAGGGAGAGGGAAAGTGCTTTCAGAGGAGTAGTAGGAAAAACACCCTGGTTGATGAAGAAAGCCCGCAGTAAGTCTTATCTGTCATGTTAAGGGCTCATTACAATAATTATTTTTATCGGTATTTAATTTTTATAAAATTCAGGTGATCAGACCTAGATCCATGATTAATCCTTTGAGTATGACTAAACCCAATGAACAGTAAGAGAATGTCCAAGTCCCATTTTTAGGATTGTTTTTGCACTGAGTTGCATTCACTTTCTACATCCCATTGCCTTTGGATGAATCTGGACATCCCTATTTCGTGACAGTTCAGTTTAGTCATTTGTCACTTTGATTCCAGAGTTCTTTAATCATTAAAAAAAAAGTAATGCTCTCAGAGTTTTTGACATATCACACAATCACTCTTTCCATTTCTTTATCATCACAAAAAATCATCCCTCCATAGAAGTAGCTGCAGATTTTTCACTAGTGTGTGGGCAGCATGGTGCAAGGCAAAGCACATGAAATTTGAGTTGGATGGATTGAAGTCATATGACCTGTATTTTCATCTGTTACGTGGGAATACGGTACCTATGTTACTGTGCCATTGGTAATATAAGCAAAATGCCTGCCTCAGTGTCAGGATATGATGGATACTGAATAAATAGTGATTTTCGGGGGCCTGGGTGGCTCAGTCAGTTAGGCGACTGCCTTCGGCTCAGGTCATGATCCTGGAGTCCCGGGATCGAGTCCCACTCCATGCTGAGCAGGGAGTCTGCCTCTCTGACCCTCCCCCCTCTCATGCTCTCTCTCTCATTCTCTCTCTCATATAAATAAATAAAATCTTTAAAAAAAAAAAGATTCTCTTAAAAAAATAAAAAAATAAATAAAAAATAAATAGTGATTTTCTTCCTTCAAAGTAAAAGTTCTAAATGACTGATAAACAAACTATTTTATTTTGTGAGTTCTGAAACAATGAAATGTTTGGGGTGGCTCAGTTGGTTAGGCATCTGCCTTCGGCTCAGGTCATGATCCCAGCATCCTGGGATCGAGTCCCACATCGGGCTCCCTGCTCGGCAGGAAGCCTGCTTCTCCCTTTCCCACTGCCTGCCTATCTGCCTACTTGTGATCTCTCTGTCAAATAAGTAAATAAAATCTTAAAAAAACAGCAACAACAATGAAATGTTTGAACTGGAAAGGCCCTCAGCACAAACTCATTTTACAGATGAGGAA